CCAGTTAAAAGTGTCCCGGTGCTTAACAATGGTGGCGACAGTGCTTGAACTAAAGCTCATTTGAGCTTTAGTTCAAGCTCCCCCACTGCCATTTTGAAGTGCTGCGATGCTGGATGAGCTGTCTGCAGCTCCGTCCCACCCCAGGTCCCATTCATCACCCTGGCTAGGCAGAGCCCCCAGCCCCTGCCCCACTCCCTCCCTCACCATGGGGGCCTTGATCTGCCCCCGACACCCCTTCCCACCCCCACACCTCTTCCCCTCCACAGACTTACCTGCAGGACACTGCTCTCCACCCTGCCCCACTGCCTTCCTGCCAATTGGTATCAGCCAATGTGTCTGGTTAATAATCAGCTCTCGGTATTGGCCAAGACATTCTTTATTGGTGCACCCCTATTGGGTACTATGAGCAAGGGGTTGGGCTAGATGACCTCTTGAGGTCCCTTCCAAGCCCAATTTTCTATGATTTTCTATGATTTTATGATTATATGTAGCCCCAAAGAATGCTGGTATTGCTTACTAATGAACACATTGGTCCAGTCCTGATGGTAAATACCTCTTTATTGTCACTGTCTCATTTTAATTCCAGTGAACTGGGAGTGCACGATGGAGAGAAGTTTACATTCCTGAAGGTTATTCAGCTGTGGAAGGCTGCTGCAACAAGAAACTTCAGTCCTATATTCCACTGCTCACATAAAAAACTATTATTGCAGAGCTTTGTCAAAACATGCTAATACCCAAGATAGTTCTAGCATGCCTCAGTTTTGCAGCAAAATTGATGCAAAACTGTTTTGCCTGTGTTCTTGAATTGCAGTTTGCCTCTTTCACCTCAGTACACTAGGAGTTAAAAAAAACCCCAACCTTTTTGCTAGCACTGCTTCAACTAGTTTGTTAGCAACTCGTGCTGGTTGGAACTTTTCTGATGAAATTTCTGGTTGAACAATACCAATTTATTGGAACAGAAACTTTGTGTAGACGTGCCTATGACAGTTTGGGCAAGGGGAGAGTTTCTGGTCAAAACCAGAGCATGGAAGAAAAAAAATCTCATCTTAACATAGCCTGGGTGACACTGGGATGTGGAGGACTGAAGTCCAGGTGTGGACTGGAGGAAGTGGAGCAAGGTCTCTTCCATGCCAAGTGCCCTAACTGCTAGACTACCAGGCCTGAGTGCTTGCTCTTGCTTACTCCCTTCTTCTCCTTTCATTTTTAAAGGCTTAGGTTGCTCCAGCTACAGAACATTTTTGATGTAGGAAGGACTTTACTGGCTAATCTCTAGGAGCAACACTGAAAGCCCCCAGCGCAGGTTTTCTCTCTGGTTTAGTCGTGTCAGTTGGATCTGCTGTGTGCCCTTGGATGAAGCTGCACAAGCTGCAGTTGGATTGAGGTTTTCTTGGTTACAAGGTCCCAGTGAAGCCATGTCCTTTATTTAATTCAGTTCTGGAGTGTCACTGAGGCTGGGAACAAGATGCTCATTTCTACTGTGTCTACATGTGCTGGCATACAGGCCTATCTGTTATGTCATTGGGGAAGCATGAGCTTAGGCCCACCAAGTAAAACTATAATAAGCCTTCCTTAAGAAGGAGGCCACTGAGGAAATAACAATTGATTCCTTGGGAAAACCAAAAGAAAAACAGGGACGGAAGTGAGGATCATAGGTTCAAAATGAGTGCACCAGGCAAAGTACATCGGACAGTGCCTACTAGCCCTCAAACGAGTCCAAGGAGCCAGCAGACACTGCCCAGTGGAACTCTGCCCAGAGACATGAACGGACGAGGGACAGGAAAAGGGCCTGCAGTCCCTGGGCATCTTCCTAGCCAGAGCCTCCCTCCTGGTCAGATAGATTGCCCATTTGGCTTGGGTCAGGAGGAGGTTGACCAGGAGGTCCCAGGACTTGGTGGAGCTGTCAATGGGGAGTGCACACACAGAAAGGTGCGGGGAGAAGTGCAGGCAGAACCAGTGGGAGGTTCTGGAGGAGGCGGTGCAGGGACTGCAGCCTGGCACACTGCAGGCAGGCGTGCACCAGGAACTCCCTCTGCTGCAGGAGGGGTGTGTATCAGTGCTGGCATGCAGGACATTTAACACATCAGGGGATTTCAGGGGCCAGGCCCAGCAAGGAAACTACAAGCCCCCTTTAGTACTGGGAGCCACTACTGACGTGCTGCTGAATACTTGGGACAAATAATAATGAAAACAGGGACCGGAGCAGAGGTCAAAGATTCATAACGAGAGTGCCAAGGGGAGACACTGAGCAAAGCACACTGGACAGTGCCCCCTGGCCCTCAAATGAGTCCCAGGAGCCAGTGAACACCGCCCAGTGATACTCTGCTCCGAGACAGGAATGAAGTAGGGCAAGGAAAGTGGCCCTGCAGCCCCTGGGGACCCTCCTGGCCAGAGGGTCCTTCCTGGTCTCATACACTGCCAGCCTGGCCAGGGCCAGGAAGAGGCTGACCCGGCCTATTTGTCACCTTCGATCACATGGGCCTAGGCCCACCAAGTAACTTATTGGCCTCTCTCAGATGGGGAGGCTACAGGAAAGGTGACAAGTGAGTACTTGAGACAAATAATGAAAACAGGGAAAGGCGTGAAGGTCGAAGATTCGTCCCAAGAGTGCCAAGGGGGGGAGGGGACACTGAGCAGAGCACACGGCCAGTGCCCACCAGCAGACACTGCCCAGCGATACTCTGCTTGGAGATGAGGACTAAGTAGGGCAAGGAAAGCAGCCCCACAGACCCTCCTTCCTGGTCAGATATGCAGCCGGCTGAGCCAGGGCTAGGAGGAGGCTGCCCGGGAGGTCCTGGCACTTGGTGGAGCCATGGATGGGAGTGCGTAAAGGAAGAGGCGAGGGGCCCAGTGCAGCCAGCACCTCAGCAGGAGGTTGTGGAGGCGGCTGCGCCCGGGTCAGCCCTTGCTGCAGAAGGGGCAGGTGTCGGCGGGCGCACAGGAGCACCTGCCCCTTCTCCTAGGCCTGGCTGCCGGGCGCGTGCTGGGAAGCGATGGCTCCCCGGGATGCCCGGCGGGACTCCCCTCCCCCGTCCCGCTCCTTCAAGGGCACGGGCCGAGCAGTCCCTGGACACAATGGCAGGCGATGCGGGCACGTCGCTAGCACGCGTGTCCCCCTCCGGACCCGGCAAGGGGCGGCGACTGCCAGCCCCGCCTCCCGCAGGAGGAGGGGACGG